CAGCATTTAAAAAAGAACAAGCCAGCAAGAGAGAGAGAGAGGGAGAGAGAAAAAAATAAACCAGTTTTAGCCTCCTGGAATGATCACATTACTAGGGCACTGACATCGTAACGGATGCCTAGGATTGCAAACAAAGGAGTCCCCTTCTGAACGAAATTATTCAATTGTAGGCTTTGTTTCTATCGCATCCTTCACCAAACGTTGAGGGACCCTTTTGGAAACAATATAAATATATTTTCTTTTGTTCAATATCATAGAAAGTACAGTAACTTATTGGACAGGGTGACTTTTTTTTCCCCAAGTATAACGAAGTAAGTCTGTAATAGAACTTTCTTTTTCAAATGCCTACTTTCAAAATCGCGTTTCTTCATTGGAGCTAATGGACTGATATCTATGCACCTCCCCCCCCGCAGCAAAAAAGAAAAAAACCCACCAGCACTTCCTAGCTGTAGTAAAAGCATGCTGGTAGGCATTTCAATATAACCAGTATTTTTTAAAGAAGTCAATTGGTACTGAATTACACAAATGTTTGAAGGGAAATTAAGGTTATTGATCCTGAAATTAGGAATTTGCCTAGATTTATGGTGAGCCCTCGATATGATTCTGTGTGGTCATAAATGTGTGTGGGGCTCTGGATGTGTGTGAGCATGTGTGTGTGAGAGTGGGTGGCAGTTGAATATCACAGAAGAACCTTAAGGCGCCTAATTATTCAGAAAGGTTAAAGGTGATGACCTTGACATTTTGGAAGTTCAAAGGCATACACTTATGCACTTATGTTTTTCCTTCCTTCCAAAAGCTTTGATAATTAAAAAAAAATTTTGCATTTGGAAATGCATGCCTCCTTGGAAGATGCATGGGGTTCTGTATAGCTCATGGATTTATTTTTTGACTTTGGACTTATGAGAGGTTAAGAGTCGTAAGATTCACTTTACTCTTTTCAGAGAAAGAGAAGCTTTTCTCACTCTTCCAGTTTATTGCACATTGCGGAAATCTCTTTTGGGCCCACCAGAAGGTGTATAATATAACCCAATTAAGCTGTTTAGAACTTTGGCTTTTATGGTGTTGTCTAGACAGTTCAAGGTTTTGTAAACAGCCTGGCCTGGCCCTGCAACATAAAGTGCGGTGCAGCCTCCACCACATTCTTTAACTTGAAGCGGTAAATGCTGTGAGAAGTGGTCTGCAGTCCTGGGCCCTATTTCCAAGGCGGGGCAGCGAGGGAGACCTTGTCTGCTCCAGGTCCCTGTGATACCAGCAAAGACCCAGGCCTCTGCACCCCTGATACCTTCCTTTTAGAAAATTAGTTTTGTTTCAATGAAAGGTTCTAGTTTTTAATTTCTTCTTTTAAGGGACCTTGCCTCCTTGACACCTTATTAAGAGTGAATTTGGATCTCCTACCCAGTAATTTTTTTTTTTAAGGAATTCCAAGTTTACTACCCTGGGTGTAGGATAGGGTGAGGTGGGCAAGGAGACTTGTTTCTTAGGTTCCTGCTGTCCCAGCCTCATTGCCTGGATAAGGCAGCACCAGCATGGCTGGGTCACATCTTCAATTCAGAGAGTCATCCCTAAAGTTATTTTTAATGCTAGTGTAGCTTAGAAGGGATGGGAGAGAACAAGTCTTATCTTAGCGGGATTAAAAAGCTTTTCACTTGATTTTCAGTTGCTTGGGGGAGAAGGTTCTGGCCACAAAAATATCCTAATCAGACACTAAACTTCTTCAAAGAGGAAAATTCATACAGTGTATTGAAGCTATAACCTCCATTTTACTAGAAACCATTTATTCACACAAAAGACAGTGACTCATGCCTTGATACGACAGACCAAAGGTACATTTCCCAGAGTTTAAATAATCTGCATTCACCAAGGGGGAAAGATGCAGTCCCTTAAACTCAGAACAAAAACAAGTGCCTTCCAAGCCCCTCGGCCTAACTCTCTACAGATCCCACAGCGTCCCCACGGGAGCTCAGAGAGAGGGAAGAACAACAGCACATTGGTGGTAAAATTGTAAAGGGACGTTTGCATTTACCATTTTCCCCTTATTAGGATCCGTTCGGCCAAGTCCCCGACCTCGTCCGCAGGCTGCAGTGGTCGCTGGGAGGTCCCGAGTTGACCGTGGGAAGGAATCGTGGAGTTCCACAGAGAAGAGGCGTCATTAAACCCAAGGACATTGGGCCTGCTCAGGGCAGGCTGGTGGGGAGGAGAGTGGGTGCGTGGGGCTCAGGGGAGAGGGGTGCTCCTGGAGCTCTCAAAATAAGGGGTTTCCAGTGAAATACTGCAGACGGTCTCTGTTCAGTTTCTTTTCTTTCATCCTGCGATTCTGGAACCAGATTTTGACTTGCCGGTCAGTAAGGTTGAGCATCCGAGAGAGTTGGAGTCTTTTCTCTTTGTTTATGTACACGTTAAAGAAAAACTCGCGTTCCAGTTCGCGGATCTGGTACTTGGTGTAGGGACAGCGCTTTTTCCGAGACCGCTGGGGGGCCACTGCAAGTTAAAGAGACCAAGGGGTGAGAGAGGCCACTGCCTGCCCACCTCTGGCTGCCCGCTCGGGCCGCGCAAGGGCCAGGCCTCGGCCGGTTGGGGACGTCCCTGCTGCAGCTGAAAGGCCCTGCCTGCGTCGTGGGGGATGATATATGGGCGGGCACAGGACAGAGTGCGGGCGTGGACCTGTGTTCACGCCCCGACACACACACACACACACACACACACACACACACACACACACACAGCCTGGCATCGAGGTGGGAAAGCAGAGATCGAGGCAGGCTCTGAGCTGGACTCAGAAGAGAGAGAGGAACACGAGTGCGCCGGGCATCTACTCGACTCCAGCCAGCAGCGTGCGTCAGCCAGAGGTTTGGATAAAGTCCAGTTCAAGGCTCAAACTCTTCCCCAACCCCCCACTCCTTTAAAAGCAGGAGGCTCGAGTGTCCACACTCACAAATTGGCTTGAAATCTCCCCTCCCTCTCTACCTCCCTCCACGGTCTCTAGGACCCCCCGCCTCCACGCACAAAACTGGGGGAAAGCTCTCTGCAGCGATTAATGTCCTGCTCGAAGTCTACCTTAAGCCCACCTAAATTGGTTTCCTATCGTAAACACGCTTTACAACGGCCAGGGAAATCTTATAGGATGTATAAACCCCTTCGAACGCTTATAAAGTAGCACATAAAACGGCGCGAGCAGAGGGAGGCCCCTCCGCCCCCCCGCGCCCAGGGCCCCCAAGCCGAGCCGCCCACCCCGCGTCCGGTGCCTACCTGTGCCTCCGCTCTTCTCAGCCCCCGCCTCCCCCGGGGGCACCTCACCGTCGCCGCCTTCTGCCGCCCCCTTGGGCTCCGAGCCGGGGGTCGTCTTGGCGCAGGGACTTCCCCCGCCGCCACTGGCCGCCGTCTTGGGGTCGCTCTTGTCCGCGGCGCCCTCGGGCTGCGGAGGCGCGGGCGGCGGAGGGGGCTGCGGCCCGGCGAACGGGGGCCCGGGCGCAGCCTCGTAGAACTGATCGAAGCCCTGCGGCAGGATGCCGTTGCGGCCCACGGCGCTGTAGAAGTTGGAGGCGGCGCCCGCAGGGCCGTGCGGCGGCCCGGGCGCGGCGCACACCGGCTCGGGCGCCTTGAAGAGCACGTCCGGCCGGCGGCCCGCGGGCGGGAGCAGCTCGCGCTGCATGGCCGCCTCCTCGGCTGCCGCCGCCGCCGCCGCCGCAGCAGCAGCAGCCGCGTAGTAGGGAGCGTAGCCCCCGGCGCCGCCACTGCCGCCCCCGCCAGGGCCGCCCCCGCCGCCGCCGCCCCCTGCGCCGCCGCTGCCGCCGCCGCCGCGGTATGACCACTTGGCGCGCTCCAGGCCGTAGTCGCGGAAGGCCACTTCGCGCACGGGCTGGACGTGCGGCGCCAGGTTGGAAGAGTAGGGGAAAGTCATCTGGCAGGACGACGGTTGCGACAGGAACGACGGCTTGCTGGCGAAGTCCGACGGGGCCACATAGTAGGCGCAGCCGGGCAGGTACATGCTGGCTGCGCTCGGGCCGCACTCGTCAAAGTCGTTCATGGCTTCGCGGCGTGCGCGCCGGCGAGCCCCGGGCCGCTCCCCGCGCAGCCAACCTGAGCCATCGATTGCACAAGAGGCTTGGGCCAGGATCAACTAAGCAAAAATCCCCACCGGGCGCTGACGTGCAATTCATCTTGATTGATTCTGGTGGTAATTATGTCACGTGACGCCATGGAGAGAAATGTCCTTATATCTATATCAGTGCTCGCCAACACGCCCCGGGACGGCTCCTGGCGCCGAGACGCGCGCGCGCTGGGGGCAGATCGGCCTCCCACTCCAGCCAGCTCTCCCCGGGCGCCCCCTGACCAGGCTGTGCCGCAGGCCGGTCACCTGTGCGCCGCCGGCGGCTGCCACTGCTGGGTGCATCTGCCACCGCCCGGCTGGGCCGCCCGCCCGCGCCTGCCCGCGCCGCTTTAAGTACGCGGACTGAGGCCGGCAAGGAGGAGGAGGAGGGAGGGGGAGAAAGGGGGAGGAAGGGGGAAGGGAAAGAAGCGGAGCGCGGAGGGGGAGCCCCGGCTCCAGGCACAGGGGGCTAGGTGTGAGGGTGTGAGGGTCCCACCCCCTACACCCCTTCCTGCAGCCGCTCCCTCCCCCGTGACGCCGCCACCCTCTTCAAGCCTGCCAGGAGCTTGTTGCTTCTTGTTCAAGGCGCGTAATTGCGCCGCTCTCGGGGAGCCGGGAGGCCTGATTTACATATTTCTCTGCCCGGCGCTCACGCCGAGCAGTAACTTGGCTCTCTCTACTGCCGACCCGTAGCGCGAATGCCAGCCTCAAAACACTCACGCCAAAAGCCTGCCAGGAGCTCACCCGGCCCGGGGTCTCGGTGCCCACTCGGCCCTGTCGCCTTCTCTTCTTTCTCCTTCCTTGTCCCCCTTTCAGTCTTCTCACTTGTCTCTCCGGTCCTCTCTCCCCTCACTTCCCCGTTTCCTTTTTTCTTCTTCCTTCCTCTTACTTTACTCCCCTCCTTGCCGCTGGCTCACTCGGTCCCCAGGTCCTCTGTCCTCCTCTGCCCCAGCTGTGTGTCCCCGCCTCTATCGCTCTCCCTGTCGTCTCTCAGCCCTTTCTCTTGCAGCGCTAAAGCGAGGAGGGAGTTCAGCCAGCGGAGGTATCCCGTGGCCCTCCAGAAGCTTGGGGGTCTGCTGAACAAAAGGACCTGGAGTCCTACTCTCAGGGTGCCTGGCTTCCCGCTTTTCCGCAAGCAAACAGAGACAAACCGCCGGGGCCTCCGCCCATCTCACCCTCTCTGCCTTCTGGCCTGGATAAGACCAACCAGCCTCACATCCAGCTCCTTCCCTGTGTCGGAGCCCCGCCAAGGCCTACGCATCCGTGCCGCGTCTCCCGCAGGCTTCTGCGGCACCCTAGGGCCCGCAGGGCCACTGCGGGGCTCCCCGGAGGTCCGTTGGCTCTGGGGGTGAGGGGCGGGCTCTCAGCCGCTCTTGCCTCCTGGTTTAAGCCCCTCTTCTCCACTCGACTCTGAGGGCCCCCCATCCACTCTCCCCAAGGCCTCACTCTCCTCGGCGGCGGCTGCGTCCCTCTTTTCTAGCCCGGGGGGTGGCGGGGTGGGGTGGCTCCAGGCGAGGCCTGGGCTCAGCCTCAGGAAAGCCAGCTTTTTCCAAAGGTGAAACCCGTCTCTTAGCAAAAAGCTCCCCAAACCCGAATCCCGGAACTGAGGGCAGGAGGTTGCCTCTCGCTGCCCAGGATTCCTCTGCCAGGCAATCAGTCCCAGCATTGGTCCCAGGCCTCAGCCCTGCGCCCGAGACAGGCAGTGCAGGTTGTGAGGCTGGTTCCCTCCCTGGCCCCGGTCGCCGCAGTGCCCGTGCCGTGAGCTCTGCCCACCATGCCGACTGACCGAGGAAAGGCGGGTGATCAGAGCGCATATCTATTTTTCTGACCAATGTTCCCCCCTTCCTCTTTATCTCCTCCCTCCCATTCTCCCTCCCACTTTCTCTCCTCCGCCCCCCTCCCACCTCAGCTTCCCTCCGAATGCTGCGCAAACAGGTCGGTGGGGCTGGAGAGCAAGAAACCCCCCATCCAAGAACTGCCCATCCTTGCATGCACCCTCCACACAGCTGGCACCCTCGCCCAGATTCCAGCTCGCCCCCTTCTCAGCCTAGACCGCTGGCACACTTGTCTGCCTCCCCATCTCCATCTCTTGCCCAAACCTTTCCCTTTTGGGCTCGGAGTTGACGCCCCAGGATCTCTCTCCTAAAATGGCTCCCCGGACACTGCACATTAGCCCCGCGGCCGGTCAGGACCCAGGGTAGGGGCCGCGGGGTGCCCCCCGGCTGGGTCTTTATGTGTCTGCAAGTGCGCAAGATTCTGGTACCTTCTCTCTGCACGGGTGGGGCGCAGGCAGCCCGCTGCCCCCAAAGTAGAGCCTGCTGACCGTTAAAGAGGGAAATGGGGGAGGACGAACCATTCAAGTTCAACGACATGGCGACGGCGCTCGGGCTGGAGGCGCGCTTTGGCGGGGGAGGGTGCGCCATCTGCAGCGGAGCATGGGTGCACTGGGAAGGGGGCGGCCGGCCCCTCTCTGCGCATTAGCGCGGACCCCCACCCCCACACCCAAGCCCAGGCTTTCGTTCGTGGCCCAGCCCGCTTCGCCCTTTGGCCCCAGCTTTCTCCTCCATCCTCACCCTGAAACCCAAGGAAAACCGCAGCCTCCAGACCCGCGCGTCCGGCTCGAGAACCTACCGTGAAGATCCAAGGGCTGTGGCCTCGTCTTTGCCTGCGCGGCCCCACTCGAAGCGCAGGGAGCGCACCGGACCCTGTCTTCCCAGCCCGCAGCTCCGCGAGTGGTAGCTTTCCGCGCAGCGCCCGGACGCGATGCGGTAATTTTGAGCCACCCAAGATAAGACACTAACTTGACCTTAACTTTGTCAGGGCGCCCCTGGTATCTGGAGAACGTGAACAGACACTGTCTGGCAGCTCTCGTAAAAACTGACTGGGGAAGAAATTCTGAGTCATTTCATTTATTGCCACTACAGTTCTGCAAGAAAGCTTTTCCTCCCTGCCAAACTTTAATTATTTATGCTCTTTTAGGAAACGAAAGAGAGGAGAAACGCAGGGAAACACCCAGAGCCTGTCCCTTCCTTGCAAAGTCTTCGGAATGGGCTCCCTAAGTCAAGTGACCGAAGAACAAAAATGTGGGGAGATTACCTTTGTCCAAGGACGGTCGGACAGCCGCTGTGCCCCCCGCCCCCACTAAGGGGGGGGTGGGTGCAGCTGTAAGAGGCGGGGTGAGGGGGCACACCCTCCCCCCACCCCCACAGACATGAATATTTACAACGGTTCTGGGTTTCTCCTCCACGCGCCCGCCTCCCGGAAGCCTCCCCAGCCCGCCTCCCTTGGGGAGAGCCCCCAGGCCTTAAAAGCGTCTCCTGGCCGGCCCTCTGAGCTCTCAGCCGGTTGAATGCCAGACCAAACCGTTTTTCCTTGTTTAAAAACCTTTTCCTTGGTCAAGAGGCCCGCCTGGACTGCAGCATTTCAGAGGACGCATTTGTCTTTGTGCGAGGGAATGTTCAACACTCAGATTTCAGCATTTTGCTGGGGTATTTGTTTTTTTTTTCAGATTTCATCGTGCTTCCAAATCCCTGCTGGGACTTTGGTTAGGAAGGGAGAAAGGACATCACCGCCTTTATATTCGTGTGGATCAGCAAAAGGGATGGATTTGAAAAACACTACTGAAGCTCTAACCAACAGACAAAATTTTACACTTAGAATAATTTCAATCTCTTTGGGGAGTGGTCTTCAGGGATATCTCCTTCCACCCTACGTCCCATGCTAAAGGGAAAGAAGACAATGATACAATGGCGTATATTGCAGAGAAAATGGTCTCCCTGTGTTGTCTTAGGGTCTTGGTCTAAGTCCGGTTCCCTGGCCCTTTACCCAGCCCGCCATACCTGAGGTCTGAGTGTGGCCTTTGCCTTTGTTTGGTTATTTTGAAGGGGGCAAACCTTACCGGACTCAGGGAGACCCAGTTCTCATACCATTGCCTCCCTGAGCCCGAACAGCTTTTCTAAATAATAGGGCCTCCCTCAGCAGCTTCTTGCTTCATTTTTTCTTTTTTTAAAAGGAGCTGTTTAAAATATAGTTCATCAGATTTGCTTCAGAGAAGGGGAGTTGGAACCATTGGTTGCTCAAAATTAGAGACAAGGTTTTTCTAATTCCTCTACTTGCTAAAAGCTAGTAATTCTCTAATTTCCATCTCTGAGCTAGCAGGGAGCTGGGGTCTGCAAGAGCTCAGAATACTGAGCAGGCCCCAGGTTTCCTGGCTTGATTTAGAGGCTCTGAAGACCTAGAGGGTGCTGGGTCTACATCTCCCAAGGGAGTCTCCTGGGCTCCTGGCAGAGGGACCAGTGTGGAGGACTTCCACAGGAGTAGCCTATTCACAAGAAGCCTGACTGGAAAAACATGGCAGGGAGAGACGCCCTGTACTGAAGCCCGAGGAACCTCCTATCTTGGCAGCCCCGCCGATAACAGCAAGCTTCAAAGTTTGAGAATTTAGGCAAAATGCAGAAATCCTGGCCAGCAGCAAGCCGAGAGTTCACTTAGAGTGTGGGACACGCTGAAAGCTGCTCATGGTTCCCCTACCTTGGTATTTTATATATTTTGTTCACAGGCTTTTATACACCATTTCCTGACTGACTTGGAAGCCATTTTCTCGTTTAATGAACAGTCAAGTAGACACCCATAGTGAAACCGCAGCCAGGAAAGAAAAACGAATTTGGTGACCTGAAAAACATTAGAAGAGAATCTGAAATGTTTTGAAAAACCGACATCAGTCCCGTGACAGCTTGACTGGGACTTGGATATTTATTTCCACTGAAAACATTTCTGTATGTCTGATACTTACAAGCTATTGTTTTTGACAAACAAAACATGTACAAAAATTATTAGATAGCAGAGAAAATGCAATTCATCTAAACATCAACTGAGGTCAGTTGGGCTGAGGCTCAGGGTGCCCCGTGAGGTGTCCATTCCAGATCTTGTACTGAAAATTCTTGGTTTGCACTGCGAATAAATCATCATTGTACTTTGAGAAAAAAATCTTCAACTCTTTGGCTGTCGTGCATCTCACTAGAAGAGAGGGAGCTATTTCTCTGAAGGAGGTGGAGAAGGGGCAGAGATGATAGAAGGAGCTTGGGGGGCCCTTAGGGTCACTGAGATCAAGGCAGGACACCCCAACACACCCGGGACATCTCTACCTAGCATTCAGCAACCCCAACCTTCACGGAGCAAGCCTGACAGGGCCCATAATCTCTCAGGCTCTGCTGGAGCAGGCCATCATGGCCTCAGAAAGACCCCAGCAGCAGGGCCCCTGGTGACGCTGGTGGGCGGTGAAGAGGATGAGGAGAGGGAACTTCTGCTTCTCTTTGCTTGGTTGAGAGAAGAGAGAGGGCTGAGGATCTGAAGGGCCTCCTTTCTAATCCTCCTGATTTCTGGCTGGTGAGAGACTTCACCTCTCCCTGCAGTGGTTCATTACCATAATTCAAGAAAGAAAGACAGACCAGTGGACACCTTTCCCCACCTCTCCAGGAAAGCCTTATGGACAGGCAGAGTGTAGGACCCCCCCACCTCTTTCCTGGCTCACTCCCACCTCTCCCTGGATGTTTCCCCTCCTCCTGGTGCAACTCAGCCTCAAAGCCAACTAGGAGCTTTCCTCACCAGAGTTCAGCTCTGGGGGTCCAGCTACACAGTGGAGGGCTCTAGCATAGGTATGTGTAAGGACATGGGAGAAATGGGGATTTTACCAGTCCCATCTGGAGGTTGCCATTTGCTGTGGAGCCCCAGCCTCCCTCATCCCATCCGTGGGAGGGAAGTGCCCAATCCATTCAGCCCAGCTGGAGGGGCCAGCCCAGCCTGGACTCCGAGGTGTCTCTGGAGTTTGTCTGGCCACCACGCCCCCTTACTCATTTTTCCTCCTGAAGGTCTAAGGCAGCTACTGTCCTCCCAAAGGAGAACAGTGCCCTTTCCTTCCTCCAGAATCGAGATCCTGGCTTTGCCACCAGGAGTTTGTCTGCAAAGAGACAGAACTGTGTCGTCAGCCCTTTCTACTCTGCTGGAGAAGTCTTCCTAAATTCAGTTCCACTCTGAGCCCTAGTTAGGTGCCTGCTGGATGCAGAAAGGGCTGGGGAGGAGGGGATAGGAAGACGAATCAGGTGGAAGCAGAAATGCAAGTACAAGGGCGCTAAAGTGAATCCGGGGAAATAGTACCCCAGCTAAGAGTTAGGACAGGTGACCCTAGACTTCCACTCTGGAAACCTCAAGGCCGAGGCTGCGACTTCTCACGTTTCTCTGAGAAAGGGGGAAAGCAGGGACGCTTAACTGGCCAGGTTTCCAAACAAATCTCCTGCAGGCTTCTGGGGCTGCTGTCTGAGAGGGAGGGTACCTGGAACCAGTGGAGAAGGAGCAGAAGGAAAAGCCCTATCCCCTGTCTTCCTTCACATCCAGGCCTTGAAAAAAAGGCAGGCGCAGCCCGGCTGGGGACACACCCGGGGCTAGTACAACGCCAGCGCCTGCTCGCGCAGCACCACGCGCTTCTTCTTCATACGCCGGTTCTGGAACCAAATTTTGACTTGCTGGTCGCTGAGGTTTAGCCTGTTGGACAATTCCTTGCGCTTCTGCCGGTTGATGAATTCGTTGAGAAGGAATTCGTTCTCCAATTCCGCAATCTGCTGCTTTGTGTAGGGTTTCCGCTTCTTTCGGGCCCTCCCCGGGGCCGCCCCCCACGGCAGGCCTGCAACACAGCCCCAACCCAAGTCAGCCCGGCCCGCTCCCAGTTGCCTGCCCGCCCCTGGCGGCTTCCCTCCCTCTACACACTCTCCCCAGCACCCCACCTCCCACCCCGGCCCGGGGAGCTTTGCTCGGGGAGCCTGGTCACCCTTTACCGTCGGGCAGCGAAGGTCGCAGGCAGGAGGCGACGCCCGCCTGCACTGTCATGTTCAAGTTGAGCGGGCCTTTGGCGTCGTCCTTGAAACCGGCGGAGCAGGGTGTCCCCTCGAGCAGGGTTGAAGAGCCCGGCGCGACGCGGCCCATACCCGTGTAGTCGTATTTGGCCGCTTTGAGAGCAGCGGCTGCAGGGGCCAGACTAGACTCCGGGATGAAGGGCGGCTGCGCCCGGCCACGCTCCTCCGGCCCCGCGGCCGCGTCGGGAGTATAAAACTTGGCCTGTTCTTCGGATCCGTCCTTGGCGCCCAGGGGCTGCAGGCCGAGAGGCCCAGAGCCAGCCAGGTAGGGCTGGGAAAAGCTGCCGAAAGCGGTGGCACCAGCAGGCTGCGCTGGGGCGCAGGAGGCGGGCGTGGTGGCCCAGGGCAGAGCGCCGCGTGGGTACGAGATAGGGGGAAGCGCGGCCAACTGGCCGCCATTCGGCCGCAGGTTGGAAAAGTAGAAGGAGTCGGGGGACTGCAGATTCAGAAGCGAGCCCACATAGCCCGCTCTGTAGAGACTGCGCTCACACATCTCCAACAAAGGGCTTGGGCTGCGCTCGCAGCAGTATTTAGTTACAACCGGGAATAAGAGGGACAGTCTCAGACGATTGGACGAAACTTCGCCTGCAGGTTCTTCAAAGCCGGTCATTTCAGCACCGCCTACATCCCCCGACCCGTTTTCCTCCCCCGCCCCCCATTCAGGGTATTATGATAACACCCGCAATATTAGATGGCGAAGGCCGAGGTTGCCAGGCCGAGCCAAGTCGTATTGAGCGAAGATGGAAGCCTCTTCGAGTTTCCTGGACGATTTCAGGAGCTGGGGGGCATTGGGCAGGGGGTACCTCTGCCTTAATGTCCCTTGGGACCCTTCTT